CGTGTTACGACTAATCGACGATGTTTTGTATATAGTGGAACCATCCTCGTCACCCCGTCTTCTTGTTCTCCGGTTGAAGGTTCCGGAGGTGATTCACCTTGTGCACCACCAGCTTGGTCACGCTGGCCAACAAAAAACCGAACACGCCGTCCGTCAACGTTTTTGGTGGCCACTTCTTCATCACGACGTCACTGAATTCTGCCGCAACTGTGCTACATGTGCACAAATCAAAACAGCCCAAACTACCTTCCCGAGCACCGTTAGTACCTATGCTTACGGAAGCTTCCAACCACCGATTAATTTCCCTGAAGAAGTTCGGACCAGATTGCCGAACGAAACGTTGGAATTACTCATTTCAATATCGCTGAGATATTACAAATATAATTTTTTACAAATGTATATATATATATATATATGTATATAAAAGGAGCATCACTTGTTTTTAAAAACTTTGTCCAATTATGAGTCATTCAACAGGCATCAACATGTAGAATAAATAAATAGAATTGTATGTTTATATATAAAAGTATATCTCTTGTCTTAAATTGTTTGTCCTGTCATGTGAATCAAGAAACAGCTATCAATAGGTACAATAAAAATTTTTATATGAACTGTGATCAAAATTTGACCTCAAACTTTCAAAATTAGTCTACTTTTGTTAATATATATGTGTTTAGGCAGTATCAATGGTGTGTGTGTATATGTGTGTGTGTGATCAGTCATAAAACATTTGTTATTCTCATATGAGCTGTGATCAAGATTTGACCGGATAGTTACAAAATAATTGAGATTTTTTTTAACCAGTGGTTCTCTAACTGATGTCAGCTCATGATGAAATCCTCCAAATATAATATAATTTTATAAATTTGATATTCTCTCCATAAGAAGAATTTGATGAAGTGTGACTAGTTGTTAAAAACATATCCAATTTATTTATTAGTCAGGATTTGCCATGCATCAGCTAACATCACACCTTCACGTCTGTTCAAACTGTTGGGATTCACCCATATATGTAGGGCTTCTGCAGTCAGTATTTCTTTATATGAACCAAAACCTTTCTGTAAAACCTTAGTCTTATCAAAGTCGATTTTGTGTCCCCTTTCTATCGAATGCAGTGCAATCTCTGAGTTGTTTTCTAGCTTCTTCAAGTCTTCAGAGGTCTTTGGAACCACCTTTAGACACTGTTTATGCTCTTTCACTCTTACATTTACCTGTCTGGAAATTTCTCCTACAAATACGGCGTTACAATCCCCACAATTGATCTGGTATACGCAATTCTGCTGGTTTTCTTGTTCTATTTTATCCTTAAGCTTCACCAGTAATGAGCGTAAGGTGTTTGATGCACGAAAATACACTCTAATGTTATGGTCGTTAAGGATTCGCTTTATTTCATCGGATGTTTCTTTGCGGTAAGGAATCACCGCTGTACTAACCCAATTCTTAGCATCAGGTTTTGATTCATCCTTATCTTCACATTTTAAATATCTTTTTATGAAGGTTTTAGGATAATTATTTGATTCAAGAGTGGATTGAACCAATTTTAGTTCCTTGCTAATATCTTCCTCCTCAGTAACTAGATGTTTGGCTCTGTTGATCAGATTCTTGGCCACAGAGCCAAACATCTAGTTACTGAGGAGGAAGATATTAGCAAGGAACTAAAATTGGTTCAATCCACTCTTGAATCAAATAATTATCCTAAAACCTTCATAAATAGTAATAGTAAATCTGTTATGATATCGAAACAAAGTTTACTAACTTGATTATCGTTCGTCAGTATGGGGTCATTTTTCGTTGTCAAGTTGGCCAATTGGTAAAGATAACAAAACCATCATGTGTAGATTGTTGGATTTGATCAGTGTGTAAAATTATAAAACAGCGTGTGTTTATATAATGATATTGCTTATCACATTCATGATTTTGTCACATCATAGGGGGGTGGGGTGGAGGTGTTGTAAACATGTTAAATTCCGTTTCAGTCCGTCATTCCTATTCAGACAATTTGGATTCCATTTGATATGAAGTGCTCCTGATATTAGATGTTCTTTATGATTTCTGAAGTTTTTCTGGATTATATCAATATTGTCAAAATCAATTTTGTGGGATTCACCCACATGTATATATCTATATATAGGCTTCTGTAGGCAGTCTTTCTCTCTTTAAACGAATCAAAACCTGTCTGAAGAACCTTGATCCTGTTAAAGTCAATCTTTTGTCCCGTTTCTATCGGGCGTAGTGCAATCGCCGATCTGTTTTCTAGTTTCTTCAAATCTGCAGCGGTCTTTAGAAGGAACCACCATTAGGCATTTTTTTTAACGCTTATTCATCACTATTGTATTTGCCTGTCTGGAAGTTTCTCCTACATATACACGACATTACAATCCCTACAAGTGATTTGGTACAGGTAATTTCAGACCACCAGTTTGTTGAATGAAACGTTGGAAGTACTTATTTTAATTCCGCTGAGATTTTACAGAAATATATATATATATATATTTACATAGGTCTATTGCTCACTCGCTGCCCAATTATTCTGGAACTACTCGATCAAATCTTAATCGCAGTTCATATGAATTATTTTGCAATCGGATGTAGAGATGTTGGGGAGGAATGTAAAATAAATAGAATGATAATAGCCAGTAAGCAATTCAAAAGATTAATAGAGAAGAGACCGGTAATTCAGCGAAGAGTCTCTTATCGACGGCGATATAATAGGGTAGTAACAAAAGTGACGAGTTGTCGCAAACGATTGTTAAAGAGGAGTTACAC